GAATCACACATGTAAATAGCATCATCAACCCCTATTTTAGTCCTCTGTTTTGATCTGTGAGTTGCGCATAGACCAAAGGTGCTATTAAAGACTCAGTATATGAAATAGGCAGCATTATATGAACAAAATTTATTCAACAAGAAAACAGACCTTTAACATGAATTTAACAAGCCTGAGAAATTATAAACTCTCATATGCTGCAGATTCATGCAGTGATAATAAACAAAAAAGGAAAGTAAGAGGTTTCCTTAAGCTAGCCAAACTGCTAATGGTTTTGTTATAAGCTGTCTGCTGTTGAAATGACCTCTGAAAAGTCTGAAGACACTTATACTAGGAAAAATGAAATGGTCAGAGTGGTGAAAGAGTTGCACTATGGAAGTGTATTAAAAAAAACAATTCTGCCTTCATATTTCTGGAAAATATCCCAATGGCATAGACTTTTCTTTGACTTTTTTATGTCTTTACAGAAAGGGAATTTAGCGTGAAGCTTGGAAACTGCAGTTTTTACTAAAACAATGCACACTGCGTTAGGTAATTTAAGTACAATGAAAGCTTAAAATCTTTGGATGGGAAATACTGACTTCTTACAGCAAAAATCTAAGTAACTGAGTGGGTTTTTGTGCTGCTTTTAATTAATCCATAGAGGTTCTTTGTTCAAAGTACTGTGTCTAAAGTTTCCATCATAGAATATGGGGTGACCGTGTTGCTGTCGTCTGATTGCATCATGCTGTACTTCAAAATACACAAACCTAGAGAGGAGTCTTCAGCTTGTTACATACCTCCAAGTGACCGCGGGGGCTTTTTTCTTGAATCTTACTGTGACATAATTAACACCTACTTCACCCATTGCTCATTAGTACACTGGACATTAATGAATCTATCTATTTTGATATAATCCTCCAAAGGAGGGACTGATTTGTGCTTACTGTGAAAAAAGCAATTACATTTCACAGAAATGAATATGTAGGATTTATTGTTGTATTTATGTTTTTGTTGCGTATTAGGTCTAAATTTAGCCTCCAGGTTGTTGAGCATGTTAGTTTCTTTAAGATGGTTGCTATAGCGATAGCAGCAAATTCCTTTAATCTTAGTGTAGTTAAAGTATTTAGTTACCATTGGTTGTTACAGTGTAACTGAGACGAGAAAGATCATTCGCTCGCATACTTTTTGTACCCCTCTGAGATTGCAGAAACCACAATTTTATCCTTCTTAAAGCTTAACATTTTTGATTTGTGATTTTAATATTTCATACCACTTTCTGTTAGATTCATATTTGTTCTACTTAGGAAATATTTGCATTTCCTTCTTTCAGGAGGACAGATAGAGCGGACAGTCCTTTCCCACACAGCTAGTACCTGAAACATATGAAAATTACTTCTGGTCAGAATTAAGATGCTAGAGTAATATTCAGTATCACTCAGAAATATTTTAGCAGCTAGTTCTCATATTTTAATGTGAAATTTATCCAAACATAACCTTGAGAACACCAATTCATTGAAATGTTGAATTTGTTATCAAAACCAAATTTAATCACTTTTTTATTTTGGGTTTTCTTTTTATTTTACATGACTGAAGTCCCAAAACATATCCATGCTGGACAATGCCATTTGTTCTTGGATAAGCTCGACATTGTCTAGTGAAGTTCTCAGTTAAACTTAAATCCAGAAGCATGGCTTTTAGTAAGTTACAAAGCAGCTCCTTCTGATTATAGTATACTGCCAAGTTCATGTTTCTTGCTCCTCAGGGTAAATTTTTACTTGCTTGAGTTTTTTTCCCCTTATCTAGCTAGTGTCTGGAGAACCTGTGGTGTGGATTTTTTTTTTTTGCTTTGCTTGACTTTTTAATTTATACTGCCTGTTTGTTATGGTTGGGCATTTCCAGGTGTTCATAAATTAGAGCATCGGGTTAAAATGGAACACACAGGTATATACAAAAGCTTGTCACGTGTTTTGAGATAGAGAAAAATCTGACAGTGATAAAAAAGGAAGAAATACAATTATTTTGTATGTTACCACAAAGAATGTATAGATATATAGAAACTGTTTCAGATCTTTTTGAGAATTAAAGTTTTTTAAATGTAATTCCTTTTTTTGTAGCATTAGTATCAGATGGCATGCTTCTGCTGCGTATTAAAACTGAATTGTGTTTTGTTTTTATTATTGTTCAGAAAAGATTGTCATTGTTAACTCACTTTAATTGGGTCACAATCTAACATTTCTAATAAAGAAGATTTTTTTTTGTACGTTTCCTGCGTGCAGTTTTAAGACATGATGTATGCAGATGAATCTGGCCGCTAGCTGAGAGTCCAGGCAATAGCTTTTAGTGACACTGAGTCACTCAACACAACTGAAATAGTTGAGTCTCAAAAGTAAATACAACAGGTGATAAGTTATTAGACTTTCAGCTTAGATTTAGAGAGGGGTTTTTTTGTTATAGATACTTGCCGTTTAATTTTATTTCCACATGAATGACCTCAGTATTTAAATTGTACTCATAAATTGCATATGTGTGTAGTTATTAATATTTATCTAAATGGAGAGGAAAATGCTAGAACAAGATGGGAGACTTGATGTTGCTTTCTCTGCAGACTTTCAGTGACAGTGGTTGATTTCTTGTATGTTCAACATAAAAGATTTGGTTCAGGTCTGATTCCTCAAAATATCAAACCAGCCATACAAATACATCTTTTGTTGTCAAACCCATAGTACAGAGAGGAAAAGAATAAAAATTATTATAGAAAAGCTATTAAAAGGAGATTTAAAGTATTTAGTTTAATGAACTAGAATAACTCTTCAAACATAGGCAGGCAAGATGCCTCCAAAGTATACCTGGTACTATTTCTGTGGATGTACAAGGCTGTATGTGCACTGATCCAGTTAAAAGACTGAGGCCTAAATGAGAAAACTTGTCTTGCAATTACAAATCTGTAATGGCGAGTACCCAGTAAGAGTGGGTTTGAGTGTATTGTGGTATGTTCTCAGTTCTGTTTCACCTCACATAGGTGTTGGATAGGGGTGTGGGTTTTACTGTATGGGGCCATGAAATCCTCTTTCCAAAGATTTTCATAGACAAATTCAGCAAAGGACAGAATAAAAATCAGTGATGGTTTTACTTTATTTGCGATGAAGTAGCACTGAATACTACCTACCGTGTACCTTTAAATCATAAATGACCTTGCCTTTCTTTTACTCTATTTTTTACTCCTGAGCATGACACTGACAAGGACTTTGTAATCCATCAGACAGTTTATAGACCCTTTCATAGTCACAAGAAGCAAAAAGCATCTGACTAGAAGGGAATACATGGGGCAAGTTCCTTGCTGGCTATAATTTTGTTGTCATTTCAAGTATTGTGGTAGTATAATTGATGTGACAGGACTGGGCTTTAGACTCGGTCCCTTAGCTTGTGCTCACTTTCAGTTTTAGTCTCTCTCTGTCATTCATTTTGATTGGATAAGATTTAGGTGACAAACATATGCATACCTTTAAAACTTAGAGTAAGTGTACATACAAATTCAACATTATATGATGATATCATGTATATAAAACTTACAGCTCCTTGGAAAAGGTAATAATTGGTGTCACCTTAGAATACAAGGTAGTGTAGTGTGCTGATAGCATAGCCAGCAGGAGGCTCTTTTTTATTAATATTATAATTAAATGATTTTCTGGATAAAGGCCAAAAATAGATGAGAGTTGATTGTGCCTTGTCCACTGTTGCTTGGCACTATTAGTTGCATTTTCTAAAAAGAATTGACTTGACATCTTGTTTTTACAGGTTGTTATCGATGCCTTCAGATTGATCAATGCTAATATGATGGTCTTGGGACATGAACCAAGACAAACAACTTCAAATCTGGGTCACTTGAACAAGCCATCTATCCAGGTAAACCCAATGTTGATAGTCCTGTGAATTGCAAGATTTATTCAGCAATTTTGGGGAAGGTACCTAAAACCAGTAAACTACAAATTGTTTGTTGTTCTCTTTGTAGCATTTTTCTGCATGTATTGATAATTGGTCTGATTCATCAATGGCGTTGTATATGTGAAGGGTTTAAAATTGAGCCCTAAATTAGCTACCTAAGTGTGAATGCATGTATAAGTATGTACTGCAAAGGTTAAGGTACAGATTTATGGAAATGCAAACTTTTAAAAGTCACAATTGATGTCGTACCATGTGATGCAAGATAGGTACTGTTTTCAGTACTGCGGTTTAAAAACTGCTGCTTATTAACATCTCAGCTTTCTTAAAGAGAAATTATTCTGAAGCAAATTATCGAGAAAGTTCCCTCTTCATTAATAATCTTATCTTTCTGCTGTATGCGTATGTAGGTTCTTGCTTAATATGTAATCTAGATTTAACCTTGTATTGTGTCTTAAATAATTAATCTCTTATTTTTATATAATGCAGTAATTTGCTGAAAAAATAGTGGAGTAGGAGATTCAGTGGGTAAATAGGATGTTTGATTGGCTTCAACTGTAATGTTTCATTTGAGTATGTTGTCTTATATTTCTTTGCAAGCATTTGTGAAACTTAAGTATTCCGAGTTTTGATTTCTGAAGTTGACTTTCACTAGTAAGATAAAAATGTTGGTCGTCAATGAAGCAAACCTTTATTTTGAGAAATAGCTTCTGTCCTGAAACAAGTATCCTCTGGAGTGATTAATGCTTTTATCTGTGTCATTCTTCTGCCTCAATGTTTTTTCCTTTTGTTTTTTCTCTCCAGAAAAGTTTTGTACCGTACTGTGCATTCTAAAAGACATGTGTACTTGCAATCATGAAGCCTTTTGATCTGTTACTTGAACAATAAAAGTAATATTTGCTAGATAAACATCCAAGAAAAAGACCGTATGCTAGTCATAGTAAAACTGAAATGAGGGCTAAACTTCTGCTGTAAGAGCTGTCCTTTGGAAGTTACTAGGTCACCATACCCCCATCTTTCAAAAGATCGGTTGTTTTTTATTGCTAATGCATTGAAACCCTTTACTATTTATAAAAATACTAGCCAGAAAAATCAGACATTTAAAGAGTGTCTGCTTCAGGAGGTTGCTGTGTTTTACTTTTGAGTTTTTGAATCAGTGAAAACTGCGAATGATAATGAGTATGAAATAAGCAGCTGATACTCTTGTTTGGATATAGGCAAGCTCATGCTTGCATGTTTCAGGGCTTTTCTAACTGGGCTTTTCTGGACCATGTGTAATGACCTCCCTTGTAAACCCCTGTAGTGTTGTTCAGCTTCATTAATTTAAGATCACTGTCACTACAGCATGGCATATTTTGGCCATGGGAGTTTTGGGTTTCTGTTGTTAGAGTGAGTATTTTTTGTTTGTTGGTTTTTTGCAAGTTGGCAGTGAGCTCTTGCAAGTGTCACTGTTAGGCTAAAAATCATAGTTTAAAATTATACTCTGTTCTTAAAACTGCAAGGGCTCTTGCAATGTTGTTTTGCTTTTATTCTAAGGTTGTGAATAAAATTCTGACCCAGTTGAGATTAGCAGCAAACTTAATATTGATTTCAGCTGGGCTAGAAGCAGGGATTTTGAGACATTCCTTAAAAATCTCAGGAATTAGAATATTATGTGACTTCATTTTTTTTGTGTGTGGTTTTTCTTGTATTCCCTTATCAACAGCTTTTTTTTTTACTTGCTCTTTGTGCATCTGATTTGTAAGGCTTGTTGGAATTATGACTTCCATTTGAAACAAAACACACAAAGAACAGGCTTCACTGTAAAGTGTTTTATGGGTTTTAATTTAACCTGTTGCAGTGGCTAAACTACAACTACTGTTCAGGTTTGAAGCGGAACAGTTGTTCAGCTTTTACATTTATCCACTCTTTTAAAGAGTGATTTCAGAAGGGGAGAGGAAAGAGAAAGGATAGTGGGGTAAGACAAAGAAGTTTGTCAAATTTTAGGAGCTTTAGAAAACTCCTAAATATCTACAACTGAGTTTAAACACAAACCCCAAAACCTCATGTGCAGTCACTTTGAATATGATAAGAAAATGGCAGTGGAAACTACTTATTGCTAATTGTTTCAATCATAAATTACTTTATTGATGATAAAACCTTTATTTTACAATTTTAATTCTAATAAGTGGCACAAGTAATGGTTATCTGTAACTGCAGGTTCTCGTAGATGTAACCACTGAAGTGGTATTGTATCTTTGTGTATGTGTTTGTAAAAGAAACCTGTTTAAACTGTATGTATAAGAACATTTTCAGCTTTTGTACAGATAATTTTGGAATGCTGAAATATTAAGTTGCATAAGATGCAAATACACATTCATTCTGTATAGCTCTAAAGAATATATTTAAACATAAATAGGTGGAATGATTGAAACATAAGAAATATTTACCACTAATGCTGCATATTTTATGTACGATTTATCATATCTCATTTCTAAGAGTACACTTTGTATGTAAAATTTTATTTGAAAAATACACAAATTTAATTGTGATGCGGATTTATCATAGAATTTTCTTAAGCCCACACACCCCCCAAATATTAATCCAACTCACCCTTAAGTCATAAATGTAAAAAAAAAAAAAGTAATGCATATGAGCAAAATAGAAGATACATGCATGTAGGTATCACTTAACCTAATCTCAATTGATCAGACTGTGATGTACAAGTGTAAGAAATAAAAATTAGAAAGTTTTTTTCATTTAAAGTTTAGAAAGAAAATTAGCTTTAATATCCAAGGTTAATTTGATGCACATAGTCTAACCTATACCTGACGTGTTTAATGACTGCTTCAGTTACTCTCTTTGTATTGTGCTTTAGAGAATGAACTTGGAAATGTTGGCAGTGGTTGTAAATAAATAGATAGCCGACATTGATTTGTTTGTAACAGAAAGAACCTTATATTTTAATAGAAGTGATAACCAAATTTATTGAGAGAGGAAGGATTTTAGAGAAATATGTTTGCGCATATGTATCGGTCAAAAGTTTGCAGGCAGTTACTGCTTTTTCCTGTGATAGTTGTTACTGTGTGAAAAAATCCTTGGTTTAGAAATAGAAAGTATAACTGTCAGTTAACGAACACTGAAAGAGAAATATGAACAGGTATATTTACTTGATACCTACTTATAGTCTCTGTGTATTTGCTTCGTTGTGTTGGTTTTTTTAAAGTGATGTTAGAAGATGGCTGTATTTAAATGAGCTTCCCTTCTAATATTTCTTCATTTCAATGGTGGGTAATTTTTATGCAAACTTTTGAATTTTACAGGCACTAATTCATGGACTAAACAGACATTACTATTCCATCACCATCAACTACAGGAAGAATGAACTAGAACAGAAGGTAATTGTTTTAGCTTTTGTTCAGAGGACGAAGAACACTATACAAACTAAGATTTACGGCTATAATCTGTTTTCAAATACTGATACTTTCAGTAGTTGTTTTAACTCTCCTGGAGTAGATGGTTTCTCTTCCAGAAAGCACTTAGATGTGTAGTCATGATGATGAAACCTTCCAAAACCACTTTCTAATATTCATATAAACAGTTTGCCAACATTTTTGTCCACACGTTTTATGGAAAGTCCTCATGCTTCTCTTGTGCTTAACAGGTTTGTGCAAAGTTTCAGGTTTGTAGTGATGAAGCTGAAAGATGTACTGGCTGCCTTAGGTTTTCACAGGCTGGAATTCCTGAAGCTAGAAGACCGTATTTTCCAAAATGGAATTGTATAAAATTGTATAACCAAGGAATCTCAGGTTTTTATTGGCTATAATCACATTGACAAAAGGTGCTTCCGGTTGGTATGAATGGAGGTCCCCAAGACTTCACTGAATATCAAGAAGTAGTGATGTTCTGCATTTATAGAAAAAATATTGTTCAGTTCCTGACAACACATATTGTCAGTTACTTCTGTATCAAACTTCCTCAGTTACAAGTAAAATCTAGCTTGACAGTCTCAACCATGAAAACAAACAGAAAAAAGAAAAAAGCTTATTTATCATGCACAGAAGTGCAGATTCTGTCCTCAGTTATGCCTATGTATGTTCATGGCCTTGTTAGTGTTATGAATTGATAATCAGAGTTGGAGTTTATGATGAAAAGGTCAGAATAGTTTTCTCACTTAATTCTGACTTTTAGAGGGCTAGAAGTAATTAAAAAAACCCACAATTTTGAACAATGGAAGAATATGCATGCCAGTCACAGAGTTGAAAAGAATTTGTGAAATGCATAACCCTTTTTAGGATGGTATCAGACTTTTCAAGACCTCACTGTTACTGAAAGGAATAACTGATTCAACAAAACCAGCACACTCAGGAAATGTCTGTGGAGCTTCCAGAGGTTATTGTTTCCATTCAGATACAACAATGTGGCCAATCGAGTCTTTTCTGAGGTTCCAAATGTGTATTTTCTTTAATGGCTTTACATATGTAAGTTATTACCTTTGCAAGTAGCAGAATAATCCTGACCGAGTTAGGGAAACTTTAATCTGTGAGGCAGCAACTGTCTCCACACATCTTTCATGAGGCAGGTTCATACATATCTCAGACCCCCCCTCACGGTGGTGGTGATCTGTTATCTCCATCTGTAGTAAGAAGGGTACATGCTTCATGTATTGGATGAGAAACGTATCACACCAAACCATAATTTTAAAATCCAGATAGCCTAGCTAAACTGTCCATATGCAGTTTGCCTCCAACTCCTTCTGTCATTAAGATCTTGCTAATACAAATTATGACAAAAACTTTTAACTCGGTTCTTATGTTCCAAAGCCAGGTTTCTTTGGAAGCTGTACATAGGATGTCTGCAGTAAATGTTTACAAAATGAAAGCAAGCTGAAATTTTGCTGAAAGGGTCTTCTCTACAGTCCTCAAGTGTGCAGAAGATCCACAAAATATGCTTTCTTTATTCAGGGAATTGCCTTTGTAGCTATTCCTTTACTCTTTCAAGAACGACATCAGAGTGTCAAGTAAAACATTTCTGGTATTTCTAATAGTCCTCGCATTTATCACCATCAAAACTCTATATCACTTTATCGTGTTGTTTTAGTGCTCTTTCCTTTGTACAAGGACAAACACACACAAGTCGTGCTTTGGTTGCTTTTGAAGTTCACTTTGTCACAGCTGTGGCAGCTGCTTGCATACAGTTCAGGATAATCAGTGAAGCCTAAATAACTACTTCATACATTTAATTCAAGCATTAAAATATTTTTCAACTTCATCAGAGGCCGGAAGCTTCAACCATTCCTTATTTGGCAGCTAAAATAATTAAAACTTACACAAAATCTATTGTCTGCTGTGGAAGAATAGTTGATTATTTTACTTCCATTATTTAAACATTGTAAGATCAATACTTTTTATTACATTCTAACAATTATAAATTGTTTTCCTGTCAGAGATCTTCATAGTATTATGAATGTATCTTAAGACGAATGCTCTAAAGAGGTTTTGTTTTGCAGATGTTGCTAAATTTGCATAAGAAGAGTTGGATGGAAGGTTTGACGCTTCAGGACTACAGTGAACATTGCAAACTCAATGAAACAGTAGTGAAGGAGATGTTAGAATTAGCTAAGAATTATAACAAGGTATTCATAGCCCATAATGATAGTATAACTATAGCTGTGTTTATGAAGTTGAAGAAATTCATTATTTAATTTCCAAAGTAAGGATTTTGATTATCGCAAGCTTTATTCAGAATGACTTGCGAAGGCCTAGACTGTAAGAACAAAACACTTGTTGCAGGAACTCTTTTCGACCTTGGTGGTTATTTGATTTGTATCATGTGTTTTCAACAGAGTTTCTTGGGATTTGGTTAAACTAGGCACAAGTGTGGCTTTAATGACCTTGTGGAGACTGTGTTTCTTATGTATCATTTCTATCTGGAGTTGCCTATTAGCTCTTTGCCGCCCAACTTTTTGCCCTAAACTAGTGAAGTATTTAAATACATGTTTTGCTTTGAAACATGAGTAATCACATCAATTTTGTATTTTTATTTAGTGAAAAGAATATAAGATTCCTGTAGATCAAAATACGCAGTTGATTGTATTCTTTATTCTTTCAGTCAAGGACTACTTGACCAGTACAGCAGAATAGAGGTTATTTATCTGTATCATTCCAGTAGACAGATAGTATTTAGAACACATTCTAGAGCCCAATTCAATGTTCTTTTTAGATAAAGAAATTATTATTGGTGGTGTAAGAAAGAGGAATCACAATTATTTGTAGTGTTTTAATACTGGCACTTCACGTGGAAATATTTTTTATAAATACTAGATCTCAACAAGCACTCTGAGTAGTAAGCATGTCAGTCATTCTTGACGAGTGCTATTTTTTTAACTTCTAAGAAGTCCTTAAAACCAAAATTCAATATTACATTCACTAGTTAAGTGTCTTTGTGAAGACACTCTGTTTGAAGGCAACAGAACATTGTAAAAGTATATTAAAATAAGTGACTTTAAACGGTATAAAAATTTATTGAGATCAAATCTCCAGTAGTTGAAACAATGTAGGTAACATTATTTTTGGTTCTGCTTTACTAGTTTAACTGTCTTCAACTATATTTAACTATTGATACAACTCATTTAAGATTTTTGCTTAAAAACAGTTTTGTGAATATCTAACAATAAAACCATTCATGAACATTTGCCTTGATCTTTTGCACTAACACTTAGTAGTTAAAAACATGTCTGCTGAAAAGCTGACATACCTTTCCTTTTGACTTTCTGAAATGTGTTGCCATTTTATTATTTTCTTTCTTTTTATTTTTTTTTTTGAGAAAGAGAATTATATTTTGAGAATCTTGTGGCTTGCATAAAAAGTAAATGAAATTTGAAACACTGACCTTTTCTGTGTTTCTTTCACAGGCTGTTGAAGAAGAAGATAAGATGACACCTGAACAGCTGGCAATAAAAAATGTTGGCAAGCAGGTGAGGTGTGATGAATTAGAGTGAGGTGGAATGATATGCTTCGTTCATTCTAAATATTAATTTTTTTAAATGTGCGTAGGTGATTTTAGTTCTACGTGCAAAATAGTCTCAATGCTTCAAATAATTAATTTATTTTTGTTGAAGATTATTGTGTAAGGATCAAGGCTTTTGACTATAGGAAATAGGCAGAATATCTGCTAGTCGTGTTCTACATAAGTTTGTATTACATGCTGAGGAGCAGTGTTGAGAGTTGGTAGCTTTTCTTTTTTTTTTTTTGTTTGTTTCTTTCTTTCTTTCTTTCCAAGAAGAGGCTTAAGGATATCCAAGTCTGTGTCAGAGATGCCAAAACTGTGGAGACTTTTAAAAAATAGTAATAGTTGAACAAAGGTGGGAGTGTTGTTTATACATTATCATAGCTAAAAAAACCAGCTCACCCCGTCCTCAGTTCATGAACACACTGTCAGTGCTTAGATCCAATACGTACGTATGCAAGTAAGCTGAGGTGCTTTGTATTGCTGTTGAAGGAAGACAGTTTAGGACCATAGCTGAAACTGAAAACACCCACTCAATTTATTCTATCCCTTTGCAATGTCAGGATATAATGTCGAGAAGACTCAACAGAAAACTATTTCTACATTTGATTTCAACATAAAGGTTGAGGAAATGTGCTTTGGTGAACGAGGGGAGATCAAAACAAGTTTGTAAGAGGTCTTCAAGAAGGGCAATGGAAGCAAGAAATAGCTTTAAAAATATCCAGCGTGTCCTTAAAGAACCAGTATTTATTGTATTGCTAGCAGCAGTAGCAGAATTTGAAGGATTCTGGATTGCTCTTATGTGTCAGCTTGTAGCAGCTATGTCATAACACATCTGCACTATTGTTCAGTCACTCGTGTATTTCTGTAGCATTCAGAACAATAGAGTTTATGCACACCTACACATACATAAATATATATATAAAATAAAACTTGTAAGAAGGGTTGTATTTTAAAGGTTATGATATCATCTCAAACAGAACTTGAGCTTCACTAGTTGTTTAAATCATTATGCATTGGTGAAAAAAAAAAATCTATTTTGGTACAGTTCTTTTAAAAAGAAAAGACATTTTTTCCTGATAAAATTATTAAGTTTTCTTTAAATTACAAAATGGTTCAATTAAGTAATTTGCATGTGTTTTTTTAATGCAAGTTATATAAAAAACTTTGTAAACAAACAGCTGCTTATAATAGGGATATTATGTTAATAGGTTGCATAATTTGCTAGGAACAGAGACAATATTAGAGAACTGTATGATCTTTGAAAATTAATTAAGAAGGACAGCTTACACAGATTTTTCTAGTACACTTTTATGTAAACTTAGATGGGTTCATTAAATTTTGACAATAATTCTTTTTTAAAAAAGTTAAAATTCGCACATGATTGTCTTCCATATTTTAATTTCTTTACATGCAAGAATGCTACGATAATACTACAATAACTTTTAGGGGAGTTTTTTAAACATACCTGATAATTTTGCAGTATTTGGAGATTAATTACTAAATCTCAATTCTGAAGCTGAAGAAGTGTATGAGTATGGTTTTCAACCAGAAATAATCTTATTGTTCTATGCAGATGCCCACAAATGCCCACATCAATTGAGTAATAGTGTGTGGGGATGCATATTTTCAGAACACTGCTCAAGATTAACATTCAATTTTTCAGAACATTTGAACATAGCATTGTGCATTTTTTCATTTTTATGGGTATAAATACACTAATTTTCTTGCAGTCAACACAACTATTCAAAGACTGTGTTAAATCATGCTTGAGTCTTTATAGGATCAGAACACACATTTGTACAAAGATCTGAAAACAAATTGCAGTGTACCAGAGCTAAGATTAAAACGTTGGCCTTAGTGAGATGTATAGTAAATTCCACATATTGTGTGTTGTCCTTAAAACTCACAGCTGTCATGGTTACCCTTCAGATGCTGGATAGAAATTTACTTACTCAATCTATCCTCAGCTTCTCCGTGTTGATAGTATGGACGAATAAAATCTTATTCATGGAAATTCAGTCATTTGCTAGGTCTTGTTAGAATGGAAAATTTAGGAGCATTACTGGCCTGTGTTCCTTAACTCACAGCCATCTTAAATAGACCTGAAGCAAATGAAATCCTTCAGAAGTATGTTTCAGTCATTTCTCTCATGGCATCCTTTATATTTCAGGACCCCAAACGTCATTTAGAAGAGCATGTGGATGTGCTGATGACTTCGAATATTGTCCAGTGTTTAGCTGCTATGTTGGATACAGTTGTATTTAAATAACCGATTTACTGTTTGTGATGCTTTCTGTGTATATTTGTTTATTGTTTCTAATACTCACAAAACAGAGACTGTTGAGGCTATATTTGATTAAACAGAGACATCTGACTTCATTTGCAGTGTAAGTGCAGCACTATAACACCTTTCAGTCTCTAATTGTGCAGTTGCTTCAGTTACTTTATGTCAGGGTCTTTACAAATTCCAAAGCATTCAAGAACACAATGTGGGCAAAAGTGTATTACATTTTCATTTAATATTTGGGGGAAAAATCAGTAGTACATATATATTTTGATTGTTGCAACATAATAAAAATACATTTACAAACCTGTCTTAAGTTCTGGAAGGTCTTTTTTGAGAAAGGATGGTGGGAATTAACAGTGTAGGAAAAGTGTTGGTAAAGATTTATTTCTACCCACTGTAAAACTACTGAGATATTAATTGCTAGGACAGCAAAAATTTTCTAATGACATTTGGCTCCCATTGATTACCAGATACTCTCATTGAGATTAAAAAAAAATTGTAGTAGCGCCGAATTCTGAGGATGTACAAAAGCCAAAATGCTGAAAATTCCCCTGCCAGCTCCCTTTCAAGTATTATTCAAAGCCTAATATCCACAGAAGACAATTGACCTTAAGAAAATGAATTCAGTTATGCTGATAACTGAATCACACAACTCTCACAAGCAGTGTCATAAATAGCAGTATTCTGAGAATAAACACTGAAGTGATAGAGGCTGTTCTAGGTTATATGAACCCTCCCTCCTGCGAAAGAGAACATACAGGAGATGTCCACATATATAAATATATGGAAGGAGTCCCAACTGGAATATGACATTTAAAACGGTTTCCACTGACTAGGGATGGAGACACTCACAGGAAGGCAGGTGGGTTGGCTGCTTGGTTTTAAGCAGGCAAAGCCAAATAGCTGGGTTTGGGGGATGACTTTGGGTTTGGGCAGGGGGCTGGTTGGGGTTTTTTGTTTGTTTGGTATTTTAAGTATTGGATTGTACTTAGGCTGATTTGATTCTTTTGTCTGGGCAGAAGCGTTCTTTTTCTGGGTCACTCACAATATTTTGTTTACTGGTCTTTCTTTTTTTTAAAAAAAATAAACGGCAACAGTTGTGGCAGGCAATTCAAAACTAGGTACATCTTTTTGTGTTGAAGACGAATTTTTAAATTTTAGTTGACTTCTTCCTTGCATAGTAAAGAAATAGCCCATAAAATTGTCTTATTTTCCACTTTATGCCCAGTGATTTTCTATTTACTTATTCATTACCATTCAGGGATTTCTTTTTGTTGTTTGGAATTTCTTATTTAGGCCTTTTAATTTACTATTTTAGAATAACTCTCTCTCAAAGTATATTTAGCATGCACTTACTTCAGAGGGAAACATGCAGATTTTTGCAGCTGCCCTCCTTATGGCCTTCCCTCTGCCCCCACAGTAGGCAGTAGAATATCAGACTGGGAAAATGGAGACATACCAAACCACATTTGCCTGCTTGTAGTTAAATGGAAGTGCTTTCTGCTGATCCGCACTTAAAAACCTGCATATCATCGAGGAAGGCTGTATTTGGGCCTTGCCGTTGTCCGATGTGTGCACCCCAGGGTGAGACGGGGCAGGAGCTGAGCAGGGGATCTGCCCTGGGGCTCGTCTGCCAGCGGGGCTCTGCATCCCTGCTGCTATCTACTCCCACACGCACGTGTAACACCACGAGGGAGACATAGTTTGGCAGGTCGTGGGTACCATGGCACTGCAGAACACGAGAGAAGCTATCGCAGTGCTGCGGTGTATACATGCGTGAAAGGCTGCTGTAAGCAGGGAGACAAACCAGTGAGTCTTGCATATTCTAAATTAATTTTGACAAACGTACATCTTGCAGAGGGTAGCTGAAGGGAGTCTGTTGGAGATGCAGATCTTCTGTAGCATGAGCTTGTGCCGTGGTACCCTGCGTTCTATCGACTCCTCAGCTGGACTTGGAGGCACAATTTTCCATTTGCTAAGATGTTTCATGAATAATCAAAAGCCTGTTTTTCGGGGCATCTTTCCTCATTTTTGTCCAGTGCTTTAGGAGCTACACAGAGGATTTGGAAGAATGTGTGCGTGTAGTAACCTGAAAAGCAGCAGCCCATACACCATCTTGGAAGAAGAAAGAGGTTTTCAAGCAGCCACCTTCTGAGACTTCAGCCGCAATGGAGCAGACCTTCATTAGCAGCTTGACCCCTTGTCACCTGTCAGCGCGAAGGACGGGCATATTGTATTAGCAAACCTCTCCTTTCTATGACGATTCTATAACACCACCTGCCATTGCATATCCCCCTATTATACCAGTTTAGGAGTTGTGCACTGAAGATTTTTGGCATATATTAGCACTTCTGTGTGATTGGCAGTGTACCACTGAATTCATTGCAGCTCCGTGTCTATATGGGTGTAGCTCTGTAATTCAGGGCAGCGTTTCCCAGGGTTTATCTGCGTTTCGACCCATCTCCTGTCTATATAAGTCCATCACCTTTCTCTCTGTTTCAAGCAGGGAAAGGGAAGGGTGAGCACACTGGTAAAACAAGCGTCGGAAACATTAGTTAGAACTGATACTAATAAAACTGTTTAGCACTGAAAGGAGAAGGTAGAGCATGGAAAGTTGTATGCGCTGTACCACCCGACTGTGAGTAAAGCAGTGAACTGCTTGCTTTTTGCTTCATAAATTATTTTATTAATATAATTTCCTTGCAGAGAGTGTGTGTATGCCGGCTTCTGTGAAACACTGCTCACGGTTAAGCAACAGAGAAATAAATGGCCATGGGATTCGAGAGTGTTGAAATACGCATTCTGACAAGTCATCCTGGTTCTAGTCTTCTCTAGATTTGAGTTTGCAAAGTTTCGGCTTGTCTTCAGATGATTATACACTAGTCTTGGTGTGGTGTGATGGTCCAGGCTGCGTTAAATATCAGTGGAATTTGAAGCCAGCTGCTGCTGTCACCTGGCAAGAGACATGGTCTGTAAAATACCTTGAACTCCAAACCGCTAAGAAAAATGGAATAAGAAAACAACTCCCCGGAAAAAAAAAAAAAAACCAAAAAAAACAAAAACAAAAAAAAAAACAACCCAAAAAACAACAGTGCTTTTAAAAACTCACCAGCTTGCCTAGGAAGGGAAATTGGGACTGACGCTGGGCGGGGTGGCAAGCGAGTCCCCTGAACCCTTCGGGCGCATCTTCACGCCTTGGAGGGTCCC